TTCTAACTACTTAAAAATCTGGCATTCCTCTAAAACTCGTATGTAATTCCGTATTTTGTTTTGTTTCCATGACAACACCCTGGGCACAACTCTTTCATCAAACTACTCATGTTATTACGTAAATCTTCTTTAATAATCGTTTGTGACAACTCATCACTTTCATTATTACCCTCTTATGTCAACATCCAATTCCTCTGAACACTTTTTGCATTGAGTAACTCCATCAAAAGCTTACTAATTGTATTTCCGTTTGACAAAGTTAATGTATATACATACAAAATAACCATATATATGTGACTGCACTACCGTGAAAATGAATTAGCCGAGACTCCTCACTGAACTACTGGTTTTCTCTTTATCACATTGTATTTGATAGAAATTCACAAAAATTATTTTCATTATTGACGTTTCTGTTTATCACATAAGTTATAAAACTAAAATGAAAGCAACCTACTTTCAGTGTTATGTAATCTAAAGTAAAAAATCACTCAATATTATCTTGGCTGATGTTGGCCAGCTGTCGGATGCAATACACTTGTTTGGTCATATTCCGGGCTCATCATCTGTATGAACGTGTATCTAAGTGTGTGCTAGTGTTCTCACCGTTTAAAATGATGCATGCTGAACTACAGTCTCGATAAAGAAAAATTACCACTGGAATCCAGTTACAATCAACTGACGTGTACCAAATAGGTCGCAACTTATGTCTTAGATTCCACTGCTGACGAATGTCAACCGAAATAACACGACGTTTACCTTAATTCAATAAAGAAGCATTTCAACATATGAACAAAGAACCAGTATTTCCGTCCAGTAAACTCAATCAAGGGTTGATTCAAAATAATTTCAAGACTATGTGAGGCGAAGCCTAGAGATAAGCACTTTCGCAGTGATTTTTCAGCGGAAGAATACTTTCCAACCACGCCTCACGTGGTCCTGGGGTTAGATTCCAGGCCAATGCTCTCCTAAACCTCGCTAAACCGGTAGAAAGCCTAGTATAGAGGGAGGGCAACTTCACTTCGTAAAAAAAAATAAAAGTACTGCTACTGAAAGTTCAAAGATCAAGCTTGAATGCCTTGAGTTGGTAGATTGTTTCTATATAATTGGTGATAATTGAAGGTAAAATTAAAATCTGGGTCGGAACAGAATTTGAACGAATGCCTCCGGATTAGTAGGTGGACACTCTGACAACTGAGTTACAAGACCCAGATTTCCAGTTCACGTTCAATTGTTACCCACTTAATGCTCATAACGAGATGATATCACAAGGATATTTCATTCTGCTCTGAGATTATATCACAGTGAAAATTCATAACCTGAAATACGACTAGATGCACGCTCATCATATTAAAGCGTGTTCATTTCACCATCTATTCACGATATTAGAATTAAAATTGACCTTGCATATATTACTGAATCCAACCAAAACTTTTCAGTCTTTATTCTGATAAACTCAAATTTATAACTAATATGATTTCATCACCTTTTTCATTCCCTGCATTCTGAGTGGAACACAGAAGCTCAAGTTTTGAAGCTTCAGCGGTGGTGTTTTTGTGGAGAAGAGATGTTGCTGACGCCACACTCAGCCTTCTTCCTTTTTTGGGCTTACTGTTGGCTACTAAGTTAAGCGAGGCTTAGGAATGCCTGCGTCAGGAATCGAACCTCAAAATCCCGTATGGTTGACAAGCATTCTACTATTGTTTCACGGATACGATTAAGGTGAATAGTTAATTGGTAATGTCAGGAATGCATATCATTCAATACATAATTATAATAACAACAAAATGGGCAGCAAGGTCATCTATTAAAACATCTGAATCTATTGTTTGCTACATATAAATGGTAAGTCCGCATTCGTAGAAGGGATCTTAGAATAGGTGACTAGATGACTGGTAATTTCACAGAACTTAAAACTTTATGACGCTACTTAGTTTTATCCATCCCCTTGTTTATTATGGCAGTTTAATTCCTAGTTGTAATTTTATTAATTTGACCCTTAACCGGAAATTATTCTGGAACTTTCCCACCCATCTGATATAAATACACGAATGCACAGCCTGGATGATGACTTCGACGAAAAGAAAATTTTCTTCGCTGCAACTGTCTTCTAACTAACTTTAAACTGATGCTGGATGTTTTAAGATAGCTGCCTCGACGACCTGGATCTAGATTTATCACCGATTTATTTGGCTGATGGATACTAATAAGCATGAAAGTTGATTTCAGGGTTTTCTTTTCCCTTTCTCAATTGACGTCAACTAATGATGAGAATTACTCTTGTGGTAATAGTCTTTACATTACCTTATCATCCAGTAATAGAATATGATCAAAAAGGAGTTAAGAAAACGCATAGTGAAAGAGAGAGTCTAATTCCATTATGCGTAAAATTTATTTTGATAAAGTCTCACAGTTTTATACAGTAATATTCACTGATGACCACATTTCAAACACAATTTACTGCTCATAATCATATCAAGGCTATAATGGAATTATACTCTACCTTAGTGCACAAGTTCTATTCTTATATCAAAGAAAGAGTCTGCAAGTGCAACAACAAGAGCTCTTAGATCAAATATTCACATTTATTTTCATTTACACTGTTGAGTGGCATCACGTCCTAGGCCCTCTAGGGGAAACTGAATGGGAAACGATGAGTTTGCTTTTGGTCCGAGGATGTCATGGAGAAGATCGTGTGAGGAAGAGATTAGAGTTTATTGACAATCATGAAGCCCGCTAAAGACAACTGCAGAAAACAGGGCGAAATGGATATGTACTGCTGAAGCCCTATCTTCCATTCGGAACCCTTACAAACCAAACTATAAAAATTTAATCTGAAGCTCACTATCGACTGGCTACAGGATGGAGTTTCCTGGAGTTCTAGTGAGAAGTCATGACCAGTGAGGTCCTTCCAGATGTCACGTGTGAGGATGGATTTCCCACCTACGACAGTGGTTAGGGTGGCGCTAAAATCACGAATTGGTAGAAGTTAGGATTCATGGGCCATTCAATTGGGTACCAGTGGCTGCATGGTATACGAGTTTGCCTTGTAACCAGAAGGTCCTGGGTTTGAACCCCAGTGGGTGCGTACTGCCGATGATTCCCAAACTAGGGTGAAACGGCTGGCCAGTACTCCTTGGTTTTGAATGGTTCTCTAGCTGATATCAATCCGTGATCAACTCGTGAAAACAAAACTAACTCTTACAAACCAAACTATAGAAAATAATAATACTAAATTAGTGAGATATTCCCCTGATCTTTAAAAACTCATGTTCCTTTAGAAATTTCAGACAGCAACAACATGCACCAGACAAGAAATATTGGTTTTCAGCTTGTGACTGATTATTATTATATTATTATTGTTCCCTTGGGTTCCTAGTGGATAATGGTGCTTCAACTGCACATTTCCACTTACTTCTGTCTTCTGTTGTACTTTTCACCTGCATCCATGTTAGTCCATACTGTTTCAACTCCTTTTCACACGATTTCCTCCATGTCACCCTTGGACGTCCCACTCGCCGACTCGGGAAGCCAGTCAGCCGATGTGCCTCCTTTCGATGAAAGCAAAAATAAGGATGGGGACGTGGAATATTCGTACAATGTACGAAGCTGGAAAGGCTGCCCATGTAGCCGCAGAAATGAGAAGATATGGAATGGAATTTTTGGGAATCTGCGAGAGCAGATGGAGCGGATGTGGAAGGTGCCAACTATCAACTGGAGAGACAATAATCTATTCCGGTCACCCAGAGGACAACCACGAGCACACCGAGGGAGTGGCCGTCATGATGTTGCCAACAGCAACCAAAGCTCTCATGCAGTCAGAACCCGAAGACTTTCACCAGCCTGCGTCATTTCACTTCCCCGATTCCAGCGAAAAATAAGGTTATTGTTTATATTTTTAGTATTTTTAATATATTTGTGCGTTGAAGTTTCTGTAGCAATTTGGTTAAGTTTTGGGGGTGGAGTTGCTAGCACTACGCCTCAACCCTCCCTCTTTATCCGGGTTTGTGACCGGCTAGAAAACTAGCGAGCTAGTAATCTAGGCGAGGTTCTGTGACTGATTCGTGAGTACAATTCATTCACATAATTAGTCATTTATGACCGGAAAATCTCTTACTTCAGCACTATGCAATACAGGTAATAACTTACTGATTAGCGGCTGAAAGCATGGAAACTTGGCTGTAAACTCGGTGTCAGTTAACTCCTAACATGGTGGTATATACTACAGACTGAGTGATATAAATTTTATTTTTATTTTTTATTTTGATTTACAGCTTGATTCCACACCGTATTTTCAGTACAAGTGTGGAATTTTCAGCATGGATATCGGTAGCCCAAATTCAGGCCAACCATAGATATCAGGTGTGCGTCGGCAGGGGATCGAACCCCGGACCATGTGCATGGTCGGCGAGAGTCCTAACCACTGTGCCACCGACTCACATCAGTCAGCAGTGACATGTAATAAGAAATTCAAGTTTGCTGTCAGCTGACTGATGGATCATCCGTCATAACTACCATTGAGAATCTGTTTCTCATAAAATTAAAAATTTCAACTGAAGCTGGACAGTAATTCCTGTTGACATACAATTTTCAGCCTCTTTTATTCCTTTACGTTCCCAGTGGAACAGAGGACTTCAGGCTAGAGCTCTGACATTTCAGCAGCAGTGGTGTTTAGTTTTACGGGATGAGGTTTCTATACTCATGCCCAACCTTCCCTCTTCACCAGTCTTATAACTGGCTTAGTGGGGTAAAGGAGTGCGTCGGCGGCCGTGGATTGAACCCCGAACCATATGAGGCGTGGTTGGCGAGCATTCTACCGCTGTGACACCGACGCCTCAATAATGTTTTAGTCTAAATAAAACATTGTCCCTTAATTTGAACTCATTTAGTTAGCATGACAACACAGGATTTTATGCATGGAAAACTTAGTTGGAGGATAAAAAATTGATTTAGAAAACCATTATTTCAAGAATTGAAAATATTTTTTAAAAAACCCAACTTACTTCAATATTCATTTCTTTTTGATATACAACTCTGGCTAATTCTGTCATCCATCCACAGAAAAATGGTACAAATCCCGGACGATGTGAACGATACTGCAGTGTAATGCCGGTTTTACTTTCATTCACACAGAAAAATGATGGTGGCTTAATTTTTGGATATGTTGATCGTAGAAATTCGTGTAAATTATCCAGACCATTAAGAAAATCGCGAAGTTCACGACCAAGTACCCTTAATATGCCTTGATAGCCTTTATTCCCGACATATTCAACAAATGTTAAACCCATACCGAATTTTACATCATCTATTGGTTCATTCAGGACAGCGGCGCACACTTCAAATAATCTTGGCAGCAAGGCATCATCATAAATTTTACGTGTTTCAAATTGTAAATCTGGAGATCCGCCTTGTTTGCATATTTCTACCCAGATATCTGAAGACCATTTAGTTACAATGAAATTGCGTAATCCGTCTAATAACAAGCCATACATTATGTTTATTTGGATAAACTGTTACGTAATGCAAGGGTTGATTTCTTATGGATAAAATCAATCACTAGGATGTTAGTTAGTTAGTTAGTTAAAATACTGTTTATTCCGATTATTGCAATAGAATGTTATATGAAAATGGTTATTCTGGAAAAAATAAGAGTGTAGATTCTATGATCTATTGAAGGATAGAATTCACAGGCATCTGTTTTCATGCTTTGTGCTATAAAAGTCTGAAAAATGTCGTAATTCTTGAATGATTGAAAACAGTGTCTGCTGTAGGTTATGGTTGGCTAGGACACAGACAAATACTACACTCAATACTCAGAGTATTATATCATAAATATTTTTGTTGTAGGAATTCGAAACAAAATATTGATAATGATGATAATGGTAATAACAGTAAATAATAAAATTGTAAATAAAATGAAATTTCTAAATTGCTTTTTATTTTTCCATCAACCTTATTTGTTTTGATATCTGTTTCTTTTTTTTCAGATGTTTGAGTCCCTAGGGGTAAAAAAATAGGAGAAAATTACTCTAAGTGGTTAGCTAATTAAGGCGAAACTTTTCTTCTATTTGAGATGCTTTTAGTTGAGTAATTGGTAAAGTGTGGGTGTGTAAGCGTGTGATTGTAAGTCTAGAAGGCGTAAGAATGAGTAGCTTTAAGCTTGTGCGTTTGTTTGTGTGTGTGTGTTGTATGTGAGTTACGGAACATGTACTTGGAGACATTACACAGTGGACAAATGATTTTTAAGACTTTCAATGTAGAACAAGATATGTTAGAGAAGAATAGTGTTTTCAAGTAGACCCACCCTAGCTTTCCCCTCTGTCTCTTTGCATTTATATATACATATATTTGCTACACTGTGATTTGTCCTACAATAAATTCAATTTTCAAGCGAAATTTTTTCACGAATTGATATCGGTAAAAGAACTATTGAAAGGAAAGCAGCGCTCACTGGACACCTGTTTCATCCTAATTTGGGACTCATCATCAGTGTGAATCAGCAACTTCACGGAAGAATGAATCTAGGACCTAGAAGTGAGTGCGTTGACTGTCTAGCTACTGGAATAGCTCTCTAATCGATGTTGATCCAAGACGAAATCTACCTTGACATCAACTGCTAGAACTCAGTACTTGAAAATTAAACTCATTGTTTATCATGATACTTCTAAAGTGTATGGTTCCATGAGTACTTATTACACTACGCTAAAGGGAGTTTGATAGATTAACGGAAATAATATGCGTTGCTTCAAAAATTAATAAGCTTCAGAAGTAGTTTAAGGCAGAATGAGACTAAGAGTGCAATTAAAGCTTA